TCCAATCTTTTTATGTCCTTGGCCCCTCAGAGCTGCAGCCACAGGGAAGAGATCTCTTCCTATCCAATACCTGGATGTTCAGAGGGATAAAGGAGACCAGGCTGTAGTCTTCGATGAGCTGTACCAGCTTCTCATTGAGCTGACGGTAGTGACTGAAGAACGGGTCAGATGCCAGGTGCTCAAGCAGGTAGGAGAGGTCCAGGACTTCCGTGTAGTAGTCCAGGTTGAAGGCTGAGGAGAGAGGCCAGAGTCAGAAGCTGCTAATGCGCTGATGCGGGCTAAAGACCTCAGGAGCTGAGCCGCAGCCCAGCGACAACGTGTTTAGCATTTGGAAGGGCTTGGGTTCTACTTCTGGCACCCAAAGGGGGATAAAAAACTGTAACCAGGGGTGGGAACTTAGCTCAGTGCTAGAGCACTTGCCTAGCAGGCACAAGACCCTGGGTTTGGTCCTCAGCTCTGGGAGAAACCAAACCACAACCAATGGACTGGCCTGGTACACAGGAAGTGATGGATTCTGACTGAGCACTGTGCAGCACAGGAGACAAGAGACCCGTTGCGCGGGGCTTTATCTTGTTTGTTTGTCATTGCCTTTTTCTGAGACAGGGTCTCACCCCTCAGCTCTGGCTGGCCTGTCACTATGTAGCTGTTCAGGTGGTTTTCCCAGCAATTCCCCTGCCTCAGACCCCTGCATGCTGAGATGACAGGCATGAGTGTCACACTGGCTCCATTACCTACACACACTAAAATACTTGCTGGGGCAGTGAAAATGATGGTAGTGAGGAGGAAAATATTTGCCAGGCGGTGATGGCACGCGCCTTTTTTTTTTTAAAAAAAAATATTTTTATTTATTTATTTATTATGTGTACAATATTCTGTCTACATGTGTGCCTGCAGGCCAGAAGAGAGCACCAGACCTCATTACAGATGGTTGTGAGTCACCATGTGGTTGCTGGGAATTGAACTCAGGACCTTTGGAAGAGCAGGCAATGCTCTTAACCTCTGAGCCATCTCTCCAGCCCTTGACACGCGCCTTTAACTCTAGCACTTGGGAGGCAGAGACAGGATCTTGGTAAGTTTGAGGCCAGCCTGGTATACAAAGTGAATTCCAGGACAGCCAGGACTGTTACATGGAAAAACAATGTCTCTCTCTCTTTTTTAAAATTATTTATTTATTATGAATACAGTGTTCTGTCTGCATGTATGCCTGCCTGCCAGAAGAGGGCACCAGATGTGCCACCATGTGTTTCCTGGGAATTGAACTTAGGACCTCTGGAAGAGCAGCCACTGCTCTTAACCTCTGAGCCATCTCTCCAGCCTGAAAAACCCTGCCTTAAAAAAGGATGGAAGGAAGGAAGGAAGGAAGGAAGGAAGGAAGGAAGGAAGGAAGGAAGGAAG